CATATACATATATATATATATATATACACATATATATACACACACACACATACACACATCTATACATATATATACGTACACATATACATACACACATACATCTATACATATATATATATATACACATATATATATACACACACACATATATATTTTTTTTTGAGAGAGATTTTTGCTGTAGGGTATGTGTACTCACCGGAGAGATAGAGAGATAGAAAGTGAGATATCACCCCCCAGGTAGATGGCCATGCCATGCAATCCCTTCTCTTCCATTCTTCTCTTGGGATTTTGGGCACTCTCTCTATGAGCCCGATATGAGTTTCAAGCTGCCGAGTCCAGGACTTGAACTGCAGTCAACCTCATGGGAATCCAGCACCTTAACCACTACGCCATCTGCTGGTCCCAGCCTTGACTGTATTTTTATGAAGCTGGTTGGGAGATCTAGAGTTGCTCTCCTGTCCTTGGTTAGGGGTCCTCCTCTGTTATTGATATATGAGCTTGGAGAGCTCGTAATCCTCATGCGGACCTCAATCTTACTATCCAGAAAGTGGGGGTAAATAAAGAGATCCAGATGAGGTGCTGGAGGTGGAGGTGATCTGAAACTGTATTTAGCATTCCAGACTGAGTTGAGGAGGGAGGTGCCACTGTGCTCTTTTCACAAATGCTTGCAAATAGGCCTGTCATGTACAAGATTCAAGAACAGACCTGTCCTTTGGCCAATGCGCAGAAAGCAGCCTGCAGGGACCCTCAGGAAGGGCTGGAGAGGTGAAGGGACGCTGGGAACCATGCGAGACTCTTTGGTCCTTCCCTTCCATTTTCTTTCCGAGCAGCCGGAGTATGTGGATTACATGATGCGCGAGTTCCGAGGAAAGGAGGAGATGAGGAAGAGCCAGTACCGCCTGCACTTCCACCTTCCCATGAGGATCATCCCCCTGTAAGGAGCCTCTTCCCTGGGCCATGGTATCTGTGTGTGTGTGTGTGTGTGTGTGTGTGTGTGTGCGTGCGCGCGCATATGTACATATGTATGTGTGAACAAGTGCTGGTGCCAGCCCTTCCATGAGCCCCCACCTAAATCTACGAACCACTCATTGTTGGTGCCAATCAAGGGTCTGGCCCTGGGCCTGGAGCTAGATGGCTGTTAGCTTGTTTCAACATCATACCCCGTAGCTGTTCTTGAGGACTAAGGTAGGTTAATTGTCTCCACTTTACAGATGAACAAACTGAGATTGAATGAGGTCAGATGACTTGCACAGGCCAAGAGGTAGACAGTATGGGCTGCTTGGTTTGAGCTTGAGTCTCTGTCTCTCCAGTATACTACAGAGCTTCTGTGTTCTCTGACAGCAGTTTCATCCACAGGGGCACAGGTGGCTTGCAAACATGCAGATAGAGCTTTCCTCCAAGGTGACAGGGAGGAAACTGCTCCTGGAGCTCCCAACAGGCCACGGAGGCCTCTGCACTGCTGGCTCTCAGGCATGGGCCATGCCTCTCTGCTGGAGCATGGCGCTCTCTGCCTCTGCTCCGCCTTCTGCCTGAGCCTGCCTGCCTGCTCCTCTGTGCAGCTCTTCCTCCCGCATGCCTTACTGCACCTTGGCCTTGCAGAGGAGGAAGACACATTTTCCTTTTCCCCCCTCTTGGATTCACTAGCTGGGGCCCCTGGAACAGATGACAGATTCACAAGAGGAAAAAACATAGATGTATTCAATAAAAGTTCTATGTGATGTGAGACCCTCCATAAGGAAATGCAGACCTTAAGAAGCAGTTCAACCTGAGTTTTCTTTATGCTAGGCTTGATGAAGAGTGGGTAGCTGTGGAGAAATATGATAGGACAAAGAAGGTATGAGCTACGTGTGATAAACTAGGGAAGCTTAGCATAGGCCCGTTTGTTCCGATTCCTCTCCGTGTCTGTGTCTTCAGAGCTAAGGGTGCTTCTTCCCTCCTGGCATGCAGAGGGCACCTCTCAACAAGGGTCTTAAGGCACCACTTTAGGGGTTCTTGAAAATGCTCCCTGCATCTTATAACCTGTTTAGGAGGGAGGTTAGTAAGTCCCTCCTGAACCTACTGTCCCTTAGATGCCTCCAGCTGAAGATAGTATGCCGGGTACCATGTTTTGAGGCAGCATGTTCTGAACCCTGCCAACATCTTCCTCTTTCTGTGCCCTGGCCCTGTCTGCCCCTGCTCTGTGTGTTCCTCTTCCCATATGTCCTAGGAAGGAACAATACTGCAGCCAGAGCCATTGAGCTGCCTGTCTATGGGCCACTGTTTCCCTTCCTAGAACCCACCTTGGGAAGGAGCACCAAACACTGGGGGCAGGTGGTTGGGGAAGGGAGCCAGGCCCTATGGTATAAGGCGTGGTGACCTGTATCTGCATCCTGGTCAGGAAGGAGCTGAGGGTATTTGTCCTCAGAGCATAGGCCATGGTAGCAGGTCAGTCTCTGTCCTCAAGCAGCCTGAAGATGTTAAGTTTCAATGAAAAGCGTGAAAGTGTAGCCTTATTATTATTATTTTTTAATGTAAGGTTTTTGCCATAGGGCATGTGAACTCGTTGGAAAGAGAGAGACAGTGAGAGGGAAAGTGAGAAATCACCCTGCAGGGGAATGACCATGCTATAGTCCTTTATCTTCCATTCTCCTCTTGGGATTTTGGATATGCACACATATGCCCAGCATGATTTTCAAACTTCTAGGTCTGGGATTGAGTCCCAGACATGGAATCCCATCATGCTGGCCCCAAAAGGGTAACTTTAGAAAGTGTATTAGTTAAGGCACTGGACTCCCACATGGCAGATTGTAGTTTAAGTCCCGGACCTGGCAGCTTGCTCTTTTTTTCTTTTTCTTTTTCTTTTTCTTTTTCTTTTTCTTTTTCTTTTTCTCTTTCTTTTTCTTTTTCTTTTTCTTTTCCTTTTCCTTTTCCTTTTCCTTTTCTTTCCTTTCCTTTCCTTTCCTTTCCTTT